AGGGAAAAAAAAAAGAAGACCGCGCCAATCAGACCAGGCCTCGTCCATCCCGGAGAGCTGCGCGCAGCCTGCCATGTCCCTACAAACACCTCGACGCCGAGTTCATGCACAAGGCCACGTAATCCCGCACACACACACACACACACACACACACACACCCTTCCCCCTTGCCCCCCGTCCCCCTTCCCTGTCCCGGTCTCATGATCCCTGCGCAGGCAGACACACACCCCAATTAATGCTTGAAAAAGTTGACGGCGAGATACTTCTCGTCAAACGAAACACGCTGCGTCATGGCCACGTCCAGCAGCCAGTCGGCCGCCACGATCCGCGGCTCCATGTGGCCCCGCTCCGCCATGGCCTCAAACTTGGGCCACAGCTTCTTCTCCTCGGCCGTGTCCGACGTGAGCAGGTACACCGGGTCCGGCGCCGCCCCGCCGTCCTCCTCGGCCGTCGTCGGCTTGATCGTCGTGCCGCTGCGCGCGTTGTACGTCAGGAACTGCGCCTCCGTTGGTCTGCACGATGGGCTGGGAAGCTCTCGGGCCTCGTTGCGGATCCCCGACGTGCAGTAGATGGGGCAGCTCGCGCAGAGGTTGCCGTTGTTGGCGCGCGCGCGCGACACGGCCGTCTGCAGCGGGACGCCAAACTTGGCCTCGTTCTCCTCGTCCACGAGAATGTGGTCCTTCGGATCGGGCGCCATGCCGTCCGTCAGCGCCGTCTCGATAAAGTCCGACGACAGGATGGTGACGCCCTTGGCGAGGGTGCGGAGGAACTTGACGGTGCGGACCATGAAGGGCGCCGCCAGGTAGTCGCACGGTTGATTCTCCGAGACGATGTGAATGCCGAGCTCCCGTAGTTTCCTCTGTTCCCAGGTCAGCACGGCCCATCAAAATACAAAGAGCACATCTCGTTGACCCCAGATTTCTCGCACGGGAAAAACTCACCTTTTCGACGTCCTCCTTGTGCTTGTCGTTGAGCCATCGCGAGAACCCTGTCAGCATGACCTTGATGACGCCGTCAGGCTTCGCCGACCGCCGCCTCTTGGCCGCGCGCTTCTCTGCCACCTCGTCATCATCCGCCTGCGCCGGGCTCGACGTCCGCGCCTCCTGGTCGCGATCGAGCATGTCGGCCGCGCGCTTGCCGCCCCACATGCCGTCCTTGCTCTTGCGATTCTTCTCCTTCTCGTACAGCGCAATGTCGGGCGCGATGCGCTGCAGGTTGCTCAGCGCCTTGCTCTTGGCGCTGCGGCCGCCGGTCGACCTCGCCGTCGGTGTCTCGTTCTCCTTGCCGCGCACGGGCATGTTCCGCGCGGGCGTAGCGAACGGCTCCTCCCCCGGCGGCGCCGACACGCCAAATTGCTTCCGCGTCTTCTCGGCGTACTCGTCCGCCTCGTCCTGCAGCACGTCAAAGTCCCGGTGCTCCTGGCGGCCGATGACGGCGCCCTCGGCGGGGCCGCTCTTGTAGGCGTTGTCCTGGGCGGCGTCCAGGATTTTGCGCTTCTTCGCAGCCCGCGGCGACGACTTGCGGACCGCCGCGCCGCCGGGGTAGAACTTGTCGCGCAGCTGCGCCTCGTCGAAGAAGGTCTGGCCGATGATCTCGCCGAGGTTGGTCCGCGGCGGAAAGTGCGCGTACTTGCCCACGGTGACGGGCTGCTTTTCGCACTTGGCGTAGCTCTCCTCGATCCACAGGTGGTTGATCGTCTCGATGCCCCAGTCCTTGGCGGCCTCGTACTTCTCGCTGCTGTCGCGGGCCGTGATGAGATGCGTGTTCTCCGTCTTCATCGTCTTGGTATACGTGGCACCGCAGGCCTTGATGAGATTCTCGAGGTAGATGCGGGACTCTCCGCCGTAGTTGGAGACGCAGATGCGCAGGTCCTGGAACCCGTCGATACCGCCCCGGGGTACGGGGTAGTGCAGCAGGCGGCGGAGCGGGGACGTCCACTCGTTGCGCGAGATGAGGTGCATCAGCCACGCCAGGTTGCCGACATCCTTGCCGAGCTGGGCGGCTCTGATGTAGTCTGGACCGTCGCGGTACTGGCAGATGTACATGTCGCAGTCCTCGACCTCGGCGACCATTTCGCCGCCGCCCTGCGTGATGCGCGAGCGGCATATGGCGTGGGCCTTTTTGGTGATGTTGAGGTCGCTCGAGATCATGACGGCCTTCCCTTGAAAGATGATGGACGGCTCGACGTGTCCCTTGACGGGCGGGAAGCTCTCGGGGCTGGGATTCGCGTCGGTGGCGCCCTCGAGGTTCTTCGTCTCGGGGAAGCCAATCTCGTCGCTGGGGTCGGCGAGGAGGATCTCGGGATCCGGCAGGAGGTAGGGCGTTTCGTCGATGCGCTTGCCGAGCTTGAAGCAGTCCTCGAACCTGTGAACGTCATGAGCGTGATGCGTCCGGGGCGGGAAAAGAGCGAGGGGAGGGGGGTAAAGGACGCCTTTCTGCGAGACGACTCTTTTCCGTACCAGTGTGGCAGCACGATTTTGACCTTGAGCTGCTTCTGCACGGCCGTCTGACACTTGGGATGGTCCATGGTCAGGGCGCAAATGTGCGTCGTCAGGCGCGAAATGTCGGGCGACTCCATGCCGCCGAGGGCCAGGGTGGCGCCGATGATGGTCTCCTTGTCAATGACGGGCAGGTCGGCGCACGACAAGGTGACCTGGGAGAAGATCATGCGGGGGTCGGGCGAGTGCGGGCGGACCTGGGCCTGCTTGCCGCGATGCAGCGACGAGGAGATCCACTGGTGGGTGACGACGGGGATCATGTAGGCTTGGCTGTCGGTGAACTGCTTGAAATCGATCGTGTTGGAGATGATGTGGGTGACGTTCTCCTCGATGCGAATGGAGCCATCTTCGGCCGGTTCCAGGACGGTGCCGCCGTGCTTCTCGAGGATCTGGGTGAAGGAGCTGATCTGGGTCGGTGTGAGCAGCGAGCTCGGGACAAAGGCGAAAGTGCATTCGCCGAAGAGGGGTGCCATGGCGGAGAGACAACAGAGGGCGACGATCGATGCCTGGGAGATTGCCAATGGCAGGACGTCGAGAGGTTGAGAGCGTGGTCAGGCCGTGTGTGTCGCGATGCGGATGATGGGCAGGAGGGAGGGTGAGGGAAGAAAAAAATACCGTCTCGGTACATGCAGCAGCAGGGTCAAGGCGAACGAATTGCTGTCACGCTCGCTGGGCTGCCTGGCGTCGAGGTCTGACAGGGGACGGCATGGATTTGTTTAGGCGACGACGCGGTGGAAATGGGGCCTGGACCGTGTTCGTGCCAGCGGGGCGCGGCGCGACGCGAAAGTCGAGGCGGGTGGTCACGTGGGTGATGAGTGGCACTTACACTTGGTCCCTGTGGTCTGGGTGGTTCCAGTGGTCCCTTGAGGTGGTCCCTGTGGCCCTTCCCGCGGCGCTTTGCAGCCCTTCTGTCCCTCTGCCCCTCTACCTTCTTCCCCTGGCTGTGCCTGGCCTGGCGCGGTACGTCCCCTTTCCAGGGGCACCCACAGCCCGCAAACCAGAATTCTGGATACATCGGACCACACCATCCCATGTGACGCGTCTCCAGCCTTGGATGGCTTCATCTGGAGCTGTAACAAGATGTACCTCTGCAGCATAGATCATAGGCTGATGTACAGGCAAAGTTGACACCGTGACGTGGATTATTTTTCAATCCTTTATCGCATGCTCATCGTTTGCGAGCACGAAGCATCCAGAATCGATTTGCATACTGTATCACCATCTGAAGCCAGTGGCTGATCCATTGCTGGCCTGGATCACGCATCGCTTCTGGGTCCCTCAAGCTGCATGCCATGCATCTACACGTCCGATCGAGCCAAGTGCCCACGATGCTCCAGTTACGCCCGCCACGCCGTGTGGCATTTCCACAACGCCGTGTGGCATTTCCACACACGCAACCACTCGGATTCTTCGCTCGTACTACCAAAAAGATGAAGTCCACTCAACAGGCAGAATCCCAGCGCTCGTGTCCGGACCCCTTGGACGTCTGCGCCACCGAGGCCCTGGACCCCGGCGCCCAAGCTTTCTGCTGCCTCCCCCTCCGAAACCCTGAACCCGAATGCGAGCCTCAACTTTTGCCCGCCCTCACATAGACCGCCTTGCCAGCTTCGAGCCACCTCCGCTTGCCCTGCCGATTTGGCTCCTCCATTCTTTCCGTCTCCTTGCGTTGAAGCGATTCCTTGTGATACCCCCGGAAAGAGGAAAGAAATACGCCCAGAAGGAGGAAAAAAAAATAACCCCCAGAAAGAGGAGAGGAAAAAAAAAAAGGCAGTGAACAATGGCTGCACCACCTTGGAGCAAGGCGCAGACCCACGAGCAATTCTTCGTCCTCATCACAGGCGCAAACAGGTACGTTCCCCATTTGCGTCACGGCCTGACGATCCCACAGCTTCGACGCAACAAGCCCAGCAGTGCTGACGTGCCGACAGTGGCATCGGCTTCGGTACGGCAGAGCGCATCATTGACGAATTCCTCGCCTCCCGCTCTCTTTCCTCCCACCTCATCCTCATCCCCACGACCCGCGACCTGCGCAAGTCCCGGGAGACGGTCGAGTCCCTTCGAACCCACCTCCACAAGACGGCGACGACCTCGAAAGCCCTCGCCGCCCGCGCCGGTCCCTCCTACAAGCCACAGGACACAATCGACCGCGTCCACCTGCTCAGCGTGCAGCTCGACCTGCTCGACCTGCGGAGCCCCTATGCCGTCGCCCGCCAGCTCGTGCACGGCACCGTCAGCGACCCCACCGACGCCGACAACACCCAGTACAAGGTGCCGCGCCTCGACGCCGTCATCCTGAACGCCGGCATCGGCGGCTTCAAGGGCGTCGACTGGTTCAAGCTGGCATGGCGCTTCCTCACCCGCGGCATCGTCTACATGTGCTGCTTCCCCGACTACAAGATTGCCATCCCGGGTCTCTTGTCGCCCCAAAAGCCGGCTCACCCGGATGAGGTACACAAGCCCCCCCCCTCTCTCCCCTCTTTCCCCTTGCCCTCGATGTCCTTCCTGAAGTGACGAGCTGACATATCCGTGCACAGCCCGCCCCTCCGCCCGTGGGCCAGGTCTTCTGCGCCAACGTCCTCGGTCACTACATCCTGACACACGAGCTCATGCCGCTCCTGAGCCGCGACGCCGCGACCGACGGCGACCTCCCCGCCGGCCGCATCGCCTGGACGAGCAGCATCGAGCCCGTCAGCGAGTCGCTCGACCTCGCCGACTTCCAGGGCATCCGGAGCTTGGACCCCTACAGCAGCTCCAAGCGCATCACCGACCTCCTCGCCCTGACCTGCCGGCTGCCGGCGGCGCAGCCCCACGCCGCGGGCTTCTTCCAGGTGTCCGCCGACGCCGCCGACGACGACTCGTCCCCCGAGACGAATACGAAGACGAAGCGGGGCCCGAAAGCAACGGGGCCGGGCCCGAGGAAGACGCCGCCGTCCATGCTCGTCACGCACCCGGGCATCGTCCACAGCACCTTCTTCCCCGTGCCGGGCTTCCTCGTGTCCCTCTACTGGCTGGCCCTGCTGCTCGCGCGCTGGTGCGGCTCGCCCTGTTTCCCCGTCGACCGCTACCGCGGCGCCAAGGCGTCCGTGTGGGCCCGTGCTGCAGGACGACGACGAGCTCGCCGAGCTCGACGCCTGCGCCATCAAGTGGGGGTCCGCCGCCGACGCCCGCGGCCGCACCTACGTCAAGAAGACCGAGGTCGAGGGCTGGGGCTGGGAGGGCCGCGTCGAGGACGACGAGGCCCTGCGCAAGGACCCGGCCGTCGGCGTGCTGCGCAAGCTGCGCGGCCGCCGCCCCACCGCCGTCGTGCTGACGAGGGAGGCGCGCGAGGCCTTTGAGGAGACGGGCGCGCGGTGCTGGCAGGAGATGGAGAGGTTGCGCGTCTTCTGGGAGGCGAGGCTCGGCGTGCGCGATGGAGCGGCTGGGCCCGGCGCTGCCAATGGGCATGGTGCCAGCAGGTGAACGGCTGCGGCAAGGAAAGGTGTTGGCGAGGAAGGCTTGGCCACCTGGTTGCCCCTGGCAGAGGAACGGCTGGTAGAGGTATGGCATGGCACGAGGAAGATGACGAGAAATCCGCAGAGTCAACAGAAGGACGGCAGCAGCGAGCACATGGGGCATATACAGGGTATTTATTGACTTATATAATAGCTAATTAGATCCACAACACCTCGTCATCCTTTCCCCTTGGGCTGGCCTGTCGGACAAAATCCACTCCCAAATCAACCCCCGAAACACATGGGCTCACGCCGACGACAACGCCGCCGTATCTGATCGAACGCGCCTGAGGCTGACTTTGTCGGCGCGGCCAAAGAGACCGAGGCACAGCGGCAGCGGCGCGATGAGCACGGCGATGACGGCCTGGAAGATGAGGGCCTTCTTCATGTGCAGCGGCGGGTCGGCCTCGGGGCCGGCCTGCAGGGCGTCGGAGATGAGGATGAAGCAGCCGCCGAGCAGCTGACCGCCGGCCCAGGCGATGACGCTCGTGACCTCGGGGGCTGATGGGGGTGGCTCATCTCGGAGAGGAGCTCGAGGGGCGACGGGGACGAGGGTGAAGCTCGCGGCGCCCGAGGAGCTAGAGGATGTCGGACGGCCCTGCGACGCTCTCGCGTCTCGTGCATCCAGACTCAGGCGAGGTAGGCGATCGCGATGATTGGGACGCACCCTTGATGTACTGTACGCAGGCTTTGGCGCGGTCGAGAATGGGCGACGTGATGGCGGCGACGACGAGGCCGACGACGATGAGGAGGGCGCCGCCGATGCCGGCCTCGTCGTCGGAGAGGCCGTAGGGGTTGAGCATCTGGTTGAGCAGCGACGAGCACGAGTTGAAGAAGCCGACGTAAAAGGCAAAGGGGATGAGCAGGAGCCAGAGCTCGAGGGAGCGCGAGGCGGTGCGCAGCGAGGCCATGAGGGGCAGCTTGGACGTCAGGGCCGAGGCCGAGGCCGGCGTCGGCGGTGCGGCGGGGACGAAGAAGGCGGGCAGCGTGCAGACGGACGACTTTTTTGGAGGGGGGATTTTGTCAGCATGACTGGGCGTGTCGGACGCAGAGGGAGGAGCTCACAATGATGGAGACGTAGAGGACGCCTTGGGACATCTGCGACGGCTTCTCGACCATGAAGGGCACCACGAGCTGACCGATGGCGGCCCCAAAGGGGTTCGCCAAGCTCATGAGAGCAGTGGCGCCGACACGTCCACGGTTCGAAAACCACAGGTCCGAGTACCGAGTCGGCGCCGCCAGGACGAAGGGCTGGGCGAGACCGGTCAGGATCTGGCCAAACATGACGACACCGTAGGTGCCCCCTTTGCTGGAATGCGATCCAGCGTAGCGCACCCAGTTGCCGACGAGCACGAGGGCGGCGGCGACCATGATGGAGAGCTTGGGCCCCATGTGCAGGATCTTTGATGGTCACCGGCCGAAATGCCACAAAAGGAGAAGAGAAATGCCGTCGAGAACCAAGTGATCGGCCGTCTCGGTCCCATGTAGTCCGTTGCGGGGCTCGAGGCGACAGGGGCAAAGGTGGAGCCCACTCCGCCCCGAGGTGCGTCCAGCAATTGCTCTTGTATTTCGGATAATCGTTCCTTCCGCAAGGTGCGGCTCCCTTTTTCCTTCGTTTCCCTGTCAGGGGAAACGGAGAGACGAGAACGACAAGCTTGTCTCGCCAAAGCTGTCGGTTCGGCCTTTCACAAAAGCTTGCCGGGCAGCAGCGCAGCAGCGCAGCTGTAGGGCTGAGAGGTGTGTGTGTGTGTGTGTGTGTGTGTGTGGAATGGAACGACGACGACTTACATCCCAGCTCACAATAATGTTGAGCAATGTCAGCTGTGCGACGCCGAACCAGCGGCGGCGGTAGGTGCGGTAGTCTGTGACCTGACCGTCGGCGATGCTGTCGCGACCATCACGGTCGAGATCGAGGTCCTCCTTTTGGACGGCGGACGATTGGGTGGCGCGCAGCTGGAGCTCGATGGTTTCGCTCTTGTCGGCAAGACTCAGCGAATTGTCGCTGTGACGGCCTGGAGCGGCGGCCATCTTGTCGTCTGGTGTCGTGGGGTTGTTGGTGGAAGAAGTCACGATGGCATTGTCGTCTGAGGGGGGTTGATGTTGGGGACTGGACGTGAGGAGACCCATGGTGCCTGCGACGATGCGAAAGCGAAGCCCACTGTACTGGGTTTCGTCCAGGGGACACGCTGGGGGTGGATCTTTCAGGGGACCTGCTAGCGGGTCTCGTGCCACTACTATGCTGTACTTGTTGCGTGGGTGGGTAGCCAGGTACCTAAGCAGGAACCTAGGCAGGACCTAGGGATAGGGTCCCGTTCGTAAGGCGTGACAAGCTTTGATGGTAGGACAAGGGGAGCAATGCGAGAGGAGGCAACACGATGCACCTGTCGAGCAGTGTCCTCACGCGACAGAGTTTGGGTGTTTGTCCGGAAAACTCCGAAACCGAAACACAAAAGAGCAGAATTCTCGACCCAAACATTCAAAGGTGAATCGAAGAGAGAAAGGGGGGGGGGAGATGGCGGGTAAATAAGACAAGGGAAATCTTGGATGATAAGCCCTCTCGCCTACCTACCTGGTAGGTAACCTAACCTACCTTCCTACCTGCGCCGCAAGACCAGACAGACAAACCCTCACCTTTGAACCGACCCTCCTGCCATCAACCCTGGTCCCCCCCAAGCTTCACCTGCAGCTTCTACTACTGCTGCTCCTGTCGTTGGGCCCAGAGCCAGACTGTGTGCATCGTTGTGCACCATCCGACCCCCTCACGCGCCCTATCGCCAACCCCAAGGATGCGTCCCCCCCTCACAGCAATCCCAGTCGAGAGCTGTCGCCAAGGCCAGAAGGGTCTAGCTCGTCGCTCGATTTGGACACACGGTCCGTCGATGTCGCATGGGAACGACGACGAGCCGCGGCATGGCGCTCCATTCTGGGTCGACATGTGGAGAGCCGTTGTTGTCTCTGGATTTGCGGGGGAGAGACAAGGGGGTCATATGGCCTGTCTCGTGCCTCGACCACCTGTACGCCCCCCCCCCTTCCGGCTGTCGGCACATCTCCTCACGTTCTTGAAACGGACGGTACTGATCGGCGGTGATGATCGTTGATAAGAGTCAAGAGCCGCACGAGCCGAGGGTGGAGGCAAGAAGGGACGAGGTTGACCAGGCCTACGTCGAATTGGTGTCTCTGAAAGTTATCGTGACTGCGCCTACGGGAAGTCACTCTCCTCAAAACAGCCAACATCCTGATCGCTAGACTGACAGACTGTCGGGTGGCAGAGCTCTCTGCCGTGGCACATCCATGTTGTCCTCTGCCTCTGAGGTATCGAGATCATGTCGTCTCGTTGCTCGGGAAAGGCAAGGTTGTATGGAAAGCTGCGTTGATTCTACAGGGCGACAGACTTGCAAGCGTCAACTCTCCATGGCGGAGGAGCTTTCATATCTGCGCTTGGGTTGTTATGCCATCCGTGTGCCGCGCATACCATGACCGGTCTCTCCATTATCACGACTCCGAAGCGGCCAACATACCACGCACCCTGGCGTATACAACAGGGCTTTCAAATACTAATCACAGATAGTTTCAGTCTACTTGTGACACTATCCACTTTTCGTTGAGATACTTCCAAAAGCTTCATCACATGCGGAAAACCCCATCTTCGACGGTCTCAAGTCAGCCAGCTCATACCACACCAGACTTATGCTGACCAAATTATCAAGCATCAGACTGGCCCCCGACAAAGCTGCTCGCTGGCGGCCCGAGATAACTCGCCTGCAGCCCACCTACATCCACTACAATCTTCTCCAAGTTCAGCTCATTGCTCAAAGGACGGTAGCGTACGACATGAGGTCCAGAAAGGTCACCTGTCAGTGTGAAATCGTGCTGTCGGGTCCAGACTCCGTTCATCACGGCGTCGGCCCAGCCCTTGGGCAGATCGCCTCGCCCAGGACTATCCAGCAGCTGCACGCCCGTGCTCTCGGCACCATCAAACGCAATGTCATACTTGATCGGCGTGTCGGGGCGGACCTCGAGGACAGTGGTGAAATACAGGGTCACGGACACAGCCTTGGGCTCCGAGAACAGGTAAATCGGATACTCGAGGTATGGTGCCCCCTCCGGATTCGCCGTCAGCTGAAGAGACACAGATCCGCGCTCCACTCGGCCGAGCTTGGGAAGCTGGCGGTACACCTTGGCCAGCGAGGCATCGAGGTGCGCAGCGCCGGCTTCGATCGAGACGATGCCCGCGGCTTCGACGAACGCTCTCTGGTCATCCGGAATCCTGCGGCTGTCTACCGGCAGATGGACTTGCTCAAAGTATCCGGCAACGGACCGCACGCTGATGGGGACCACGCCCTGGAAGTCTTTGGGCGCGGTATCCCAGTTGATCGTAACCTCGACCCGTGCGTCCTGCTTGTCATCGGGCAGCAGTGTGCCGCTCGCCGGAGACGCCTGGATCCAAGACTCGCTGGGCTCAACGGTCCACTCAATCTTCTCGATGCCACGGGCGAAGATCTCGAAGTAGTAGCTCTGAGGCCCGTACGGGCTGAGCTTCGGCAGTGTGAAGCCCGGCACGAGGTTGCCTGTCGAGGGGTGCGTGCGGTCGCACTCTTCGTTTGCCAGCCCCGGCCGGACACCGCCGTGGCCCTGCACGGCTACGCCCACTTGGCCGGCGATGCGCGTCGACTTTCGTCGCGTCTGCACGTAGGAAAGCCCCGTAATCATGTCCCTTGTTGGGGCGTGCCATGTGGTGGGATCGTATCCATAGCGCGGCTGGCACATGATGTGGTTCCACTTGTCGCCGAACCACGGGTTGTCGTGATACTCATCTTCGAGGTCGTAGTCTTCCTGGAACAGATCCAAGACACGCTGGGCCAGAACATTGGTCGTGTTGCGTCTCTGTAGGCCGTAGAGCTGGTTCAGCGCCTGCGTCACCCGCAGCTCGGTGCAGATCCGGGATGCCTTGACTGGGTGGAGGACGAGCTGATACGCGGCCGCTTTCTGGGCATCAGGCACCGCCTGGAAGATCTCCAGAGCCTGTGACTCCAGAGCCTTCCACCGCTGAACGATGGACTCTGCTTCTCGGTTGTGCACGACCGAGAACGTGTCCGTGTCAATGTGCTCGTGACGGCGAAGCCCGACGAGACGATCGTGTCCCGCGAGCACGTCTGCGATCTGCTGCGCATGATCTGTCCCGAATTCTCGGAGTGCGTAGGTCGAAAAGTAGGATGAAATGACGGAATGGTCCACCGCGTTGATGTTCCAGGCCAACGACAGTGCAAAGCTGCTCGACGCTTCCATGGGCTTGATGTCGCCGACGTTAAACACCCAGACACGGTCAATCCCGCTGGCATGAGCGGCCCTCAGTTGCTGTTGAACTTTGCCCTACGGATTGTCAATGCATGCCTCCCAAGCAAAGCGTACCACATGCCGCGCGAATCGACCCGGGGTCTGTCTTACCAAGGAAGTGCAGTGAAGCCACTTGTAGCTTCGCGGATGGCCCACGTACTCGAGATGATAGTATAGCTATCGCTGCGAGTCAGAATCTGGAACTCTCCCAGACACACATGGTACTCAACTTACACCGGCGCCTCCGCTTCTCTTCCTTTCCTCCTCCGTCGGATACCGACGAACGTTGCCAAAGTTGTCGTCGGCAAACAGCAGCGTCACGTCCTCTGGCACCTTCAGGCCCTTCTCGTACATCTGCAACGCCTCCTTGTACAAAGCCATCAGTTCTATCGGACGGTTAGCGACGTCCCGAGACCGCAGTCTCTTGCGCAAGGCTTGACTCACGCGGCGTCCCGTCTGGCGTCCCGTGCACACGCTCGATCATCTCCCTCTGGCTGTCGAGGACATCTTGCAGCGTGCCCTGGGGATCCTCTGCGATCATCTTCTTGTCGCCCTCGCCGCGCATGCCATTGTGATGACGGATTCATAAGGCTTGGCGCGCTCGATGCCCGTTTCAAAGTGTTCGGCCACGGCCTCCTTGTTCGTCTCCCAAGACCACACGCCCTTGTTGGCGGTTCTCCACTCGGTCATGTCCCGCTGCATGGGCTCGTGGTGAGACGTCGACATGACGATGCCGTACGTGTCAGCGAGGGGCTGGTTCAGAGGGTCATCAGTGAAGAAGGAACTCCCAGGCCAGGGGAAGCCGGACCACATGGCAGGCCAAAGAAAGTTGGCCTATGATGATGATGCATGCTGGTTAGTGACGGAGGATACGACAAACAAAGGAAACGACGCGTGGGGTTCCCTACCTTCATGCGCAGCAGCAGTTCAAAAACGCGCTTGTAGAACTCTGAGCCATAGTTCACGCCGTACTTCTCGTGGACCCATGCGGTGAGGGCCGGTGCCTCATCGTTGATGAAGATGCCGCGGTACTTGACGCTCGGTTCGCCGTGGATCGTGGGCTCAGACACGGCATACACTTGCGAGTGCTTCTTGATGGGAACGTCGGCCCACCAGTACCATCTTTTCTACATGTTAGCCAGAAACAATTTTTTTTTGTATCTTGCCAATGCGAAAGAAGCAGACAGCAAGACGTCATCTAGATCCCGGGTTCGCACGTACGGTGACACACCAGCCTGCTCGGTCAGGGTATAGCTCGCGAAAATGGCACCGCGCTTGTCGCTGCCCGCGAGGACAAAGACGCGCTTCGCAAAGGACCAGGGGCTGTCCTCGACGTGGGTTGAAAACGTCTCCCATTTGCCCTCGAGCGACCGAACCCGCTGCGTGCCCTCTTGGCCGAGCTCCTGGAGGAACTTGCACCTGGCAAGGCTGCCGACGAGGATGATGCCGTCCACGGCGCTCTGCCCTTCCGTCGTATTCAGCAACGCGGAAGGCTTGCCAGTGACGGACTCAAGATCGCGGGCCAGGTTCCTGATGGCGATCTGGGTTCCCTCAAACTCGTCCTTGTCAAACAGGACGGGGAGACCGGCGAGGTCCAGGGCGCCGTGCGCGGCATCGAAGCCGATAATGGATGTTTCAAACATGGGCGCCGGACGGGGAAACTCATGCACAAATGCGTAAATGCACCCTGACTGTGATCAACGAGAGTTGCTGCAACAAAACAGGCAGCACAATCAGCAACCAACCGATGCTTCGTGCCACGGGGACCGACCCTTCGACAAGACCACAGGACCGCGGATGATATACCCCGCACTCGTAAGACTTTACCCCGATGGCCGAACACTTTGGACGGGCATGGCCCGTCCAAGTGCCCTGAAGGAATACCGGTGGACACACGTTGTCTGGGTCGGGCGTCGCGGAGTGAGGAGCTAAGGGCGCCTGCGTGGGCCGAGGCGTTGCCGATACCGGCCGGCGATTCCATCGGCTTCGCCTTGCTTTTGCCGGGCTCCGGAGACCGTGTGCCGACCGAGCAGCACCAGACGAACGAACCCGCCAAACACGCATTTGCTCCGTTGCAGTGCATCCTGTGCGACGAGCGCAGCAAGATCCATGATGTTTATTGCTTTCATTTCCAACAGGTGTAGGACAAACCCAAGAAATTCGTCGTTGTGTCAGACTCTGGCGGTCACCAACCGTTTGATCAGTCGGGCGTCCACGCTTTGTAAAAGTCTTACGTGCCTGTGCAGTCAGGCGTGTAGGCCTCACTCAGGACATTCGTAGAATGCAGACTCCTCGATGGACTCATCGCGATTTGGTGAAGCCGAATGAGCCAGAAGATTCCTTTTCCTCGAGTCAACGCGAGGCGTTTTAAGGTAGCATCAAAACAGGACACTATGAGAATGCTGAGCCTTGGAGGCAATGCCAGAGAAGCTCGCCTGACGAAGTCGCACCCAGCACATTGGGTGAACGATGTCACAAAAACAACAAAAGACACGGAGGCTGACCGATTGCACATATCCACTGATTCTTGACGTCGACCCTAGACCCAGACACGTTGCATCGAAAGCAAGTGTCCAGTTCGGGTCTGTTCCGCCAAGATGGAGCAGCACGTCATTCTAGAAGTAAGCATCATCGGTGATTCGAACCGACATGAACGGCACAGCCGACAGGCTGTATCGGTCACGATTTCTGTCCTGCAGACGGAGCGGGTAGAAGCAAACTACACGGTCAAATCCTGTTGGGACGATGGCCGCCTGGCCATCACTACGGACTCGGCATGGCTTGCGGCGTTTGGAGGCTGTAGCCTTGACTACTAGGTTCGTGTGTCAAGTTGGAACCAGCTGAATAAGGAGGTCATGGGCATGACTCTCGACCGTTTCGAGGGTATGCTACATCGACTTTGCGAGTGCAACAGGCATAAGACACTTCTTTCGTTGATTCTCCACGTCCGAAACACAGAGTCGTAAGGCAGAGGAATCTATTCTCAGGCGACGCAGTCGTATTTTACACAAGACAACGGCATAACCACGCGACACGCGCCACCCAGCGCGCTATACAGGGGGGGGGGGTTGGAAGAAGCCGCCGTCTCACGATTTCCCGGTTCCCCCAGAGGTCGTAAGAATTCGTTCGTGGGATGGTCAAAATATCATGGTTCCAGGAATCGAGGTGGGGGGGGGGAGAAAGGTCTTCAGACAGCCAGGCGGATGGGAGCGAGCTGTTTATTTGAGCTTAGACCACAGCTTGGGCGCAGCGCAGGCGGTAGCGCAGTGGGCAAGGTGGAAAACTAAAGATCATGTCAGCAAAGAAAGATTGACCCATCGTCGTGGCAGAAGAGGAAAGACATACACTCCTCAACGCAGTCCTCCTTGGCACCGCCCTCCTCGTCCTGAGCGGCCGTGACGCGCGCGACGCAGTCGTCGTAGTGGTGCTTGGGGCCGGCGCACTGCTTGGACTCCACGCACTCTGCAATCCGGTCAGCGGTCTCCTCTACCTTCGGTCTGGAATGGCATTGTGTGGTTGCAGCGCAGCGTGTGAAGGGGGGAGGGGAGAAAGCGTGCGGGCGGGAGAACCATACCTTCCTCGAGCTTGGTCTTGGGATCCTCGAGCTCCTCCTCCTCCTCCTCTTCCTCTTCTTCCTCCTCTTCCTCCTCAGCCTCGCCCTCCTCAGACTCGGCCTCGGCCTCGGGCTCCTCAGAAGCCTCCTCGTCCTTCGCGGGCTCCTCGTCCTTGGTGCTGGTCTCCTCGGTGGTCTCCTCGGTCTGCATGTGAAAAAAAGAAAACTCGGTCAGATTCGTCGTCTTCAATGCATCTCGCACAAGGGACTCGGGACGATGGTATTCGACAATGAACCTCGGCGCTGGCGCGCCGACAGGTCATACGATCGTCCGTCTGCCCGGGAAATATTTTGCGCGCATACCTTCTCCTCAGCCGCGGGCGCCTCGGCCTCGACGGTGCTCCAGGGCGTGACCGCCTCGACGAGGTCTGTGAAAGCGTCCCAGATACCCATTTTCGATTGTTGTGGATTCGTGATGAGCGATTGGCGGTGGTCGGGCGTTGTGTGGTTCCGTCTCTTCGGGGGCAAGGGAATGGAAGAAGTCGGGAGCTTCTCGGTCGGGAGCAGGTTGCAAAAGTGATCATGAATTGAGGGGCTTTGATTGGCCGGGCTGTTGATGCGTCATGACTAAGAGCACGTGACTGCTCGAGTGGTCTCAGCTGAGCAAGTAACGCCCAGACACATGTTGACTACAACTTGAATTGCCTGTAAATGCCTACAGTACAAGGCATTGTAGACTCCCACCTCATGCGACTGGGGCAATCGGCAGCTTTCTCACTACAGCATTTTCAATGACTGACATGAAGAAGTCGACTTGCACGCCCGCATTCGCAACGAGGCAGCTCACATGTGCTGACCTTACAAAATGTCCCAAGGCATTGGCAGTTACATACGTGATAGGTGACCAAGCTTGCGATATACAACACCTCGTGCAGAGTCAATTGCGTTCGGTACTATGTGAACTGAACCGCATCACGTCGCATCGAGTAAAGAAGGCTTCCTCCCTCGCTATGTCAGATCTGCCACCATAAAGAAACTGGTCAACGGAACAAATAAAAAAAAACAAGATGCAGTTTGTACCGGCCGGTGTGAATTCTCAAACCCAAAGACTCCAGTCGTAATTCCCATCATGTCTCGTGCGCGATAATGCTCTTCAAATCAATGACAAGCCGCAACGAAGCCCTACGAACGATCAGCGCCGTCCCGTATGTGACTCTCGAGCCGCATGCCGATCTGCTGGGCCTGGGCCTCGTCATAACCTGGTGGCGGCTCATTTGGTCGCTGATTCTGGCTCGCTGAGCTGGCAGATCGTGGCAGTGAAGCAGGCAACGGGGCGCTCAGGTTGGGTGCGCCTGTTGTTCCCTCGGTTCGCGCCTCGTAAGCTGGCAACGGCTCGTCAGGAATGTTGATTGTCTGACCAGTCTCCTGCTGTAGCCGCCTGACGTGCTCCATGCGCTCTTTGAGCTCTTCGAATTTCTGCCCAAACTCAGTGTGACCGCCCTCGCGGAAGCTGAGCTTCAACTCCAGACGTGGCAGATCCGGCGGAACGCCGCCTCCCGGGCTTGGCCGTACAATGGACGACCAGTACCATGCACCAAAAAGGGGCGAACCAACATGGCTATCCTGACAGTCCAATATCCATGCTTGGAACGACTTGAACTCTTCGGTTGGTTTTGAAGGGATATAGATCACCTGGTAGAGACAATAGATTAGCTCAACGTCGTTTTTTAAAGAATGGACAGACTAGAATACGTACTCGTCTCGTAGTAATGTAAGCGGTGCCATCGGCGCTCTTGTGTGAAAATGGCGTTCGGCCTTGCTGAAGGGCTTTCGGGACACTCAATTCGAGACTGATCTTATTCGTCCTATGCCTTATGCGTTCGTTGTCCAGGGGAATAATGTTGCCATTGTCCCTGATCATGACCCAACTAGACTGATGATTAGAATTCAAGCTGGCCTGCGCAAGTTCTCGTTCCCTCTGCACCCTCCGTGCAATGTGATATGCGTGCTGCTCTTGAAGATACTGGTCCGTCATGTTGAAGATGGTGTGGCCAACTCTGTGCTGAAGCAGCTTAGGCGGGGAAGGACGGGCCCGTGGCCGGCTGGTCGACGGCGGGGTATCGCGAGATGCCGGAGAATGTCCTGGATGTTGAGGCTCGAGCAACTTGGCGTGCAGTGAGAGGGGGGAAGATGGTGCTGTTGAAGGACGGGAACCGCGGGGGCGTCGGCGGCGACGGCGGCTGCGACGACGACGACGACGGCGACGGCGACAGCGGCAAGGAGGAAGCAGAGAAGGCAGGACAATTTGGAACAGGGGCGGCGGGTATGGCAGGGACGTACTTTATTGACATTTTGAAGGTGGAAGGTTCTGCGACAGAGCTTCCCCTAGCAGCTTGTTTGTAGCCAGCCGGGCCAGCCAACGAATCGAGCGGGCGGCAGGAGAAGGGCGCCAGTACACTGTGGACTGTGGATTGTGGGCAGCGAAGCTTCGGAGATCCCAGGTTATGCTAGTGGTGGGGTGGGGAACTGGCCGCAAGTTGCAAGGCCACCTGGTACTGGGTTCTGGATGCCGGCTGCTGGGTCTCTGTTGGGTGCTGGGCGCTGGGCGTAGAAGCTGTGACCTGCCTTGACTTGTTTTGACTTGGGAAGCGAGACGGGGGGACGCAGATGGATGCAGGTGCAGACTGTAGTAGGCCCGCAGGTGGGAGAGGAGGGAAGAGGGGGGGGTAAGAGAGAGGCAAGTGGAGGAGGCCAGCCGAGACAGTACTAGACCAAGCGAGTCAAAGGATGAACAGGACGATAGAAGGTGGATGCTCCAAGGAGACGGACGAGGACGAGGCCAGACGAGGCGAGAGATCGGGCTTCGGGCGGGCTGCGACGGGGCTGTGGTTTCTGGTCAAGCAGCGGCAGCTAAGAGAAAAAGTGGCTGGGATGGCAAATCCACAAGCCAGTAGGTAATGGCGAGTGGGGGACGTATTGCGACAGTGTACGTTATTGTTCGCCGTTCGTCGAGGTGTGTGTGGATGGATGTCCAGGGTGTGTGAGGGGGGGTTGATGAGGAGTCGATGAGGGGTGATGGGAGACCACAGTCTTAGTTAAAAGCCTTCTCCAGGGTTTATTTTTCCTCTTTCGTTGTCGAGGGCACAGGTTTGGTGGGAGATCGACGCCCCCCCCCCGCCAGTTGACTTTGCGGACAGGAAGCTTTTGTTCTAGGCACCCCTCTGATCATGACGATGAAAATTGATGTTGAAGAGGGGAAGAGGACAGAGGACAGATTGCGACACCAACGTTTATTCGCAAACCACCCGCAAACCCGGCTGCGGGTTAGTTGTCTCTGATATCCAGTCCTCACGGCTGCGACTTCCCGATCCTCTTGTTGGCACAGTCCGAGTCACCGTGCACATCTTCTGACTGTGAAACTGGGAGTTGGGTCCAACATACCTGCCAGAAGGGCCCATTTCAGTTTTCAGTGGCGCTGGTTGTAGCCTTTTCGTGGACACGCACACTGTGGGAAGAAATTCGCCTCGCCAGCGCCATTCTCTCTCTTCCTTGCCCGACCTTAGTAGCGCGTGCTTCCTTATGAACACTATGCGATGACGGTCGGTACCAGACAGCACGGCGGTACCGAATCACGACGACCCGTGCTGGCAACGGCTGGAGGCGCTTCATGCTCATCGACACGGCCCGTTGCATAGGCCAAAACTCTGATACCCTACCCGGCGATACCTTGCAGACGGGTCACCTCTTGTCTGATGACCAGCCGCTGGGTACCTTGGATACAGAAGACGCTTGCTGAGTGGTAGTGGATGGATTGGTATGCGTCTACCAAGGACCAGGGTTTCAAACCTGCGGGGATCGCATTGTGCTTGGTGTCCGAATTGCCAGGCGGTCCCCCAGGCGCAGGGACTAGCCAAGACTCGATAGTGGCCCGTAACACATCTTATCCCGAGATCTGATCCGCTCGACATGGACAGGGCAGCCTTCACGTCGGGTGGGTGTTGCGCCTTGTTGCGCCTGATGTGTCTTCCTCCGCCCCGTGATGGCCGTGATTTGCAGCCGTCCTACCGAATGAAGCAGTAGAAGAAACTATGCCAGCAACAGACCTGCCGACGGACTGCCTGAGTCTGAGACCCTGAGCAATGTCTCTGACTCTAAGGGGATACGCTATCGAGTGTGTGCCGTGCTCTGCATGTGAAGTCGCAGCGACCCAGCAGGATCGCGGAAACTAGGACCAGGGTAACAGGTCAGGCAGGTACCTCTGGAACCAACCACAAGTTGCTCGATGCCTGGGCCCGCCGCAGCGAGCCACGGCTGCTCTCTGGTCACTTGGGATGCCACAACCCGGCGAGCGAACGAGAAAGCACGCGTGGCATGCGACCTTCAGCGCATGGCGCGCTGTTTATGTCTCGGTCTAGCGGGCTGCGACTGGGGGATGGATGACCAGACCGAGTCATGCAAGTGACTTGTGTGGAGGGCGGCTGGAGACTGAGAGAAAAAAGCAGCTCTGGGAGCAAGATAGCTATGTGCATGTAGGTGCTGGCTGGGCTGGCGCAGACGATGGATGAGATACTAACTGCTGACAGGCCGGGGTCGGTCGTTGCACAGTGCGCCGCCAGCGACGAGAATGAAGGCGACTTGACAGATGGCCCCCGCCTAGTCGGTGCTGGGAAGAAGCACGAGGCTGGCCATGATTCCCCTCATTTCCTGTTGCATCCGTGGTGGGTGTTTGGCGTGCAGCATGCAGCAGGAGATTGCTCAAACTCACCCGACAGCGCGGGGCAGCTGCTTGCTGACGATAGGTGCGAACGCGGTGGATTATCCGATGCAAATGGCTCGCTCGGCAAACCATTGGCTTCGGCTTACCCGCTCAGCGATGCAAGAAAAAAAGACTTGTTATCTCCAGCAAGTGACAATGAGGAGTCAACTTCATTTCACTTTCTGTTTGTTCATTTCCTTGAGAGACGATGTCAACAGGCAGTCTGGTGGCTGGGCAAGTGCAGTCGAGACAAAATGAAATGACCATCGCTGTTGCCGTCCCAAGTCCATCGCTTGGATATCGCTGCCTGTTAAGTGCCTCTTACCTTAGAGGTGCCAACGCTGTCTCTCGGCTGCCACGATGCAGGATCCAGGGCATGAAGCATTCGACCAATCCAAATACTGGAGCCGAGCCGCCATGATAGCAACTCTTCACCATGCGGCCATAACAGCAGCCTGGATTCCACCTATGACCCCATCGCGGACAACCACAGTACAACGACAATCCACACTAGTGAACCCCCACTGACCAAGAGGTACCTCGCAGTTATGCTGCACCGCGACGCTACTGCATCTTGCTCACCAAAGAACCCGGCAAAAGCCAGGGCCGCCGCGCTCTCGCCCGCGGACCCGGGTCCCATCTCCTGCCACAGGGCTTCCCTGACAGCCCGCTCGATTCGTTCGACGGGGCTATTGCTATTACGGAGCGTGGATGAGGCAGTGTGAGAGACCACGCAAGGGCTCGCAAGAACTCGCCAGGGCTCACACACCAGCAAGGGGCCATGTCGGCCAGAGACCCAGAAGGATTGTCCAAGTGCTGACTATCAAGCCAACCTGGACCCGAAGAGCAAAGGCGTCTGTGTGCTTCCCTGCCCAACAAGCATGGTTGAGCTGCATGGAATAAATCAGAGAAGGCTTGTTCGGTGCCGTTCGTGCGAGGTGGCACATGATCCCGCGGACGTTAGGGGCAGCATTGGGCAGTCGCCAAGTCAATGGATCACCATGATCTTCCCCTCGGTCAATTTGGGAGCACCCTCAAACACCGGTGCTCACCGATCTTTTTCGTTCTCTTTCGCCCCTGTCATATCTCGTCTTCGACGTCTGGGACATGCGAGGGCTTGAGTCAGCCAGCGAGAGCACCCCATCTTTTTCGACGCACCGAGCTCCCATTGCGAAACCCCATATTTCTATCAACACATAGCACACGTTCAACCCATTGGCAACAGAGGGCGTTGGAAGGAATGCACCACCATTGACGCCACTGATGTGCGAGGCACGGCCGATCACTCGCCTCTTTCAGCTTTCTCTGACAACTGTCCGATGACAGCGGCTCATTGCCGAGCTTGAATCCAGGATTGGCGTCCAGGGCCCTTCCGTACATGTCGGCCCCTGGAGGGTGAAGCCGAGGGCCCATATTCTCGGCTTCAATTGGCGGCATTAGTCACCCCTCTTTCGCCATGCTGCCGGACTGATGTAACGCACGTCGAACTCCGCCGTACCTGAGCAAGCCCGTAGCCCCCCGCTTTCTGCTAGATATCGCCGTGATTGGGCAATAAAGCAACCCGGCGACTCCCATCGGCCTGACCAACGACGTTCGCATGTGAGCTAGGTGTGGTCGGCTCTCCGGGTCAAGGGCTCATCTCGCCCAACCTCAGCCCCTCGAGTGCCGAAGCAGACATCTCCCGTTTTCTTATTCGTTTCTTCTTGTTAGGGCCGGGTTCAGAAGCGCTGCTTCATCTCGCTTCTCTCACTGCAGATCATCAATTCTGGCTCAGCATGGCCTCGTCCAAGACCACAAGCGAGGCCGAGGTCAAGGCGCTCGCGCAGTATTCCGCTTGCGACATATCTGACGCCCTGGTTAAACTCAAGGTTCAAGGAGGCGGATTTCTCGCCGACCTGCATTGCTACAGCCAACCGGGTGCCAGTCACACTTCCATCACGATAGCACCGGCGTCTACCGTGCTATTCATCCCCAAGGGCGCGACATTGGACGCACCACGTTCTAACATCCCCCAAGACGCTCATTGGGCAGATCTTACACCGCCGCATACTATCGTTGTCATCAGGCAGCCCGATGGCCAAAGAAATGCCGTCTGTGGAGGGATCATGGCTGTTCGGATGAAGGTTCGCCAAGCCAAGGCGGTCGTCGTCGCAGGACGGGCCAGGGACCTGGAGGAGCTGAGAAGCACAGGTCTACCAGTATGTTGACAAAGCCACATCAAAAGCATTAGTGATGTGCTCACGCTGATACATGCAGGTTTGGGCCCGTGGTCTGTCCACTGTAGGGGCAGGGGCGGCAAGCACGCCTTGGGCTGTTCAGGTTCCTCTCGACATCGATGGAACCATCGTTCACCCGGGGGATCTTGTATTTAGCGACCCTGTCAACGGCGTCGTCGTCATTCCCCAAGACAAGGTCAGCCAGGTCCTTGAGCTTCTGCCACGCCTGACTGCTGCCGATGACAAGGTTAAAGAGGATGTCTTGAAGGGCGTCAGCGTTTATGATGCCTTCAAAACCCACAGGAGCAATCTTTGATGGCTTTCATTCAGAAATACGGATCAACGCTACATGTGGTGCTCAGTATTGTGAATAGGGCCAGTCCTGTTTCAGAGGATCACAAAGACTGGCGTCCAAACCGGCAGGACACAGAGAACATGGATATAGGTACGAATTGGCCGCAACATGCCACGGTACAAGGCCAAACAGCGTTGCAACTTTTCTTGACCGGTTCAAGCCCATCATATTTCAGCAGAAACTGTTCAGCCTCTTTGTATAAATGAGTGCCTGTCGTAAGGACCCGGAGAGTGGCGCACTCCTGTCGATCCAGCACCACGATGGCCAGCAGCAACAAACGACGGCGATTGGTTAACTTCAACTCATGGCGATCGGCTCGTGGCGCAGCTCCCTGACCTTTCAGTCTATCGTAGGTGCCTAGGTGACGCTGACCGAACTGTGTCGGGGACGGGAACCTTAGGAGCATCGCACTTGCGCTGTGACATGATTCCCGCTAGCTCACCGGCTGCAGGCTGACCATCCAGATCCCCCTTACGGGCACACCGATGAGATGAGCTCGGTGCCCCCCCTCCTCCCCAAAATCCTGTTGGCCGGGGTCCTGCCTGGTAGTAGTAGGACGAATAAGTTGCCATGGATGACCAGTGGTGCGCACAAAAGCCCCGCTCGACGCACAGCAACAAGCCAATGTAACAAAGCAGCATCGCTATCTTTGCCACCCCGAAACCACGGGCGATGCCGCTTAAAAGTAACTCCAGAATCAGTTCGGCCCTCGACGAGACGACCTAGCAGTACTGTCGAGCAAGCCCAGCGGTCCGTGCCCCGCTTACGGGTTCACTCCGAGCCTGATTGTCAAGGTGCGCCAGCGTCATATCAATGCAAGATCACCATTCTCAGGTAGGGCCTGCGTTGGTTCGTGTTCATCAATTCATTAACATGCCATACCGTGCCCTCGTGATACCTCTGAATGAGGGATAGAAAAAGAAAACCATCCAAGACCAGCATTAGACCCCTCCAACAGTAAGTACAGCCCATTGATCAGCATGGAAAAAGTTTGAAACAAGAATTTTCGTGTGCCTCTTTTTCTGTCTCCTCTCTCTCCGTGTCTTTCGATTTTCGTGGAAAAGGCACGAGAGTGTAACGGCAATGGACCAAGACGCTGGGAAACTCCAACGCAAGGAAAAAGGGAAATACGCCTCTTGAAAATGGACATTGCTGTTCTCGTTGCTGTTTCGCACATCGCGAGACGGGGGAGAAAAGAAAGGGCAGACACTGGCAGCTCACGAGAACGTGTCCGCTACGTGATCCAACTAGGACAGCCAGGCGTCCCGGTCCTTCTGCTGCGGCGTCGGCAGACCAAAGTCAAGCTTGGGCATCTCGATGCGGGGCGCGGCATCTTTTCCGGGCACGGGCGACGCCGCAGAGGCTAAGGCAACGGGCTTCTTCCTGGGGCTCCGCGGCTCGGGCGGCGGTCCGTACCGTACATCGCGGACGTCCCAGCCGTCTTCGGCGGCGGCGGCGACCCAGGTGCGCAGGGCCTCGTGGACGCAGCCGTAGAACTTTTCCTTGCAGAGGCGCAGACTGCCACCGAGACAGCGCTCCCAGCCCGAGATGCGCATGCCGTGACGGATAGCGTTGCGCTGGGCCACGGTGGGCGTGCAGGCAAGGATGGCGTTGACGAGATCAAGATGGGAAGCGAGGTAGTTGGTCGCGTCCCACTCGACACCACCAACGTAGGGAGCCGCGGGCACGGGAGGTCGTTCCTGCGGGAAGTGCTTGTGCATGTATGCGTAGGGTAGGTGGTCAGAGTGACCGGGGCCGGCGGAGAGAGGCATGTCAAGCTGAGCACCACCCTTGCTGGACATGTCGGCGGGCAAGGCGACGACGTTGAGGTTGTGGAGGAAGATCCAGAAGACCTCCTTTGTCACGCTGACGGTCTCCTTGTTCCAGACGGTATAGGGGCGCTCCTTGCGCATCTCGAGAACGAAGGGGACGGGCCGCTCATCCTCCTTGCCCTCCTGGTTGCGGAGGTAGGAGAGCATGGCCTTGGCGCGGATGACGCGCTCCTGGGGCGATGCTGACTCGATATAGGTGAAGAGGACCGAGGTGATGATGTTGCGGGTGGTGAATTCGCTGGGGCCCTTCTTCTCGGGATCGAAGATCATGTGAATCAGCTTGGGGAAAAGGTCTGTGTGGATCGAGTCGAGATACTGCAATGCGAGGGCGGTGGTGCAGAGTGCCTTGAGGCAGAGGAGGTTCTCATGAAGAAGTGCATCCTCGTGCTCTTCCCTGTTTGAGTGGTTAGCAACAACAATCTTTGCACAAGGTCGATGCCGGCACGTACCTCCATTCCACCTCCAGAATGCGGTTCAGGAGATCGACAATCTCCTTCATACCACCCTGCTTCATGAACTCTTCGGTCCACGACACCGTCTCGTTCCGCAGCAGCAAGCGCAACTTGTGCAGCTTGCCGACCTCGACCAGCTCAGGCTTCTGCACCTTGCGGAGATACGACACAAAGTCACCAGGCCCCTGACCGAGCTTGATCTTGGCGAGGATCCCGCTGCCAGCTGACGGGTTGGCCGCTGTCACGGGCCTCTCGCCGACAAGGCTCTCGGTGGACTTTGTCCGAAAGTGTCTGCTCAGCGTTCCCTCGCCCTTGGACTTCTTCGTCGGCGACTTGGCGTCCTTCTTCGCGCGCCCCAGCGTGAAGCTCCGCCCGCGCGTCCGCTTGGGGTGGCTCTCCTCGGTATCCGTGCCGACGGCGACGGCCGAGGAGGAGCCCGCGTCGACGCTCGTCGTGCTCTCGTTTCCGTTGCCGGTTTGCTGCTGCTCCGCCTTGGCCGCCATCTCGGCCCAGTCCTGGCGGATAAACTCCATCTTGATTGTGTCGTTGAGATTCCGCATCTTGAACCGCTGGTTCTCGGGGATGTTGCGCCGGTCGAGCATGGCCTCGAGGTGGGCGTTGATGTCCTTGGGGTCGATGACGGCATCGCCCGGGTTGCTCTCTGGTGCCTGCTTGTCGGTCCTGTGGCCCGAGGCCGAGAAGGCCGTGAAGATCTTGGGACGTTGCGCTTTGCTCGTGATGCGCTCCGACGAGGCGGGCTTGCGGCTATCGTGATGAGGCCTGTGGCTCGTGGTAGGCAGGAGACCCGCATCATCGCGGACGCGGGATTCGGGCTTGGAAGAGGTGTAGGGCTGGTAGGACTTGGGGCGTTCCTTGCCAAGAGGTCCTGACGAGGGCTGGAGGCTATTCTCTGTCGATCTGCTGCCGTGGGCACTGCCCATGTCGAAGGAGGTCTTGCCGTCCAGATGGCGATTGTGTTGTTGTTGTTGTTGTTGTTGCTGCTGCTGCTGCTGCTGTTGCCCGAGGTCTTGGCTCGAGAATTGAGCGAAAATGGGGGGTGGGGGTCCGATGAGATCGACTGCTGAGGTCGAGGCTGGTGGTGTTCTGTTCTCCTTGTTACCTGCTTCGCGGCGCTCGTCCTCCTTTGCCTGCCTGCTCAGGCCCTTGGATGACTTAGGCCGTGACAGCAGACCCGCGAGTTTGTGGATGATTTTGTCTTTTTCGGCTTTTCCGGCGACGGCTCGCGCGATTTGGGTGGTCGAGAGGACTCCTTGATGCGGGCAAAGGTGCTGAACGCTGATTTGGTGGGTGACCGTCCGCGGTCGTCGCTGTTTTGCCGTTCATCTCGTGTCTTTCGTGGAGAGCGGGGTCCCGTGGTATCCTGCTGATTCTGTTGCAGCTCGCCGAGGGCGCCGCCCATGTGCCTTGCGAACCCCATGACCGGTGGGCTCTCCAAGGATTCGATCTGGGGTGCCCTGCTTGCTGTCGTCGTGTTGATGGCGAGGCCGGAGGGGAGGTTGCTGCCACCGGACTGGTTCCGCCTGTGCATGAAGGATTTAAGGACAGAAGATTTGGACCGCTGGTGTCCGACACTGCTCTCCTGACGCGGAACACCGTGGAGATCGTCGTGCGAAGTTGCCATGGCCACCGGGAGGAGAGACGATTGTGGGGATACGGGGTACGGGAAACAAGAAAGTCGTAAGGTGCAATGGCTAAGCTGAAACGGTCCAGGAATGCTGTCCTATTCGAATGCGTCGTTCAAAGATGCCAGGCGAGTCATACTACCATTGTTTCGCTCGCAGGGGAAAGAAGGCCGGCTGGAAGCTGCGTGGGAGGCGAGCGATGCTGAGGGTGTTGGAATGAATTGGAGGTTCAGGCCGGGAGGATAAGGCCTGCGGAGTATCTCGATCGGTGTGGGGATGTTTATTCTGGCGCTGTTGCCACGACGACATCCACCCGCTTATCTTATCGCAGGTTCGCGCTTGGACCACCAATTCATCAACGTCAATGCTGGAAGGGCTCATCGGCTTACTCATCCTCCGTGATTCGAGGTCGCCCCCTAGCGC